AGAATGCGGAAGTGTTGTATAATACATCACTTCCGCATTCACTTGGTCACATATTGTGCTATCACATAGGGGGGTTTGTCTCCTCCCTCACACTTCTCTGCCAGAATGTGATAGGAGGCTGAGCGGTGTGGGAGGAGAGACGCCGGACACTCACAGGGCTCTCCTCCCGCTGTGACACTTTCTCTCCTCCCTGCTGGGACACAGAGCAGCGCCCAGCAGGGAGGAAAGAAACCTGGGATGCGCCGATGTATCGGCAGGAAAATAGCAGTTAGCCAAAAGTGCCATTTTCGGGCGATATGTTTCGGCGGCCGATGTATCGGTGCATCCCTACTTTTCACAATGGGACAACTTGGAGGACACCGAGGGTTCTAGTTAACTATGGTCCAGAATCATGAGACTTGGATTGCTGGATGTGAACAATCAGCCAGACTGAGGTGAGTATGATCTACGTAGGGGGAAGGTGAGCTAGGTTAGGGTCAGGGGAAGGATATTTGCACTTTGTGTATGTTTTAGGGGATTGTTATAGATAACACAGAATAATTGTTCTTTATGATCTGTTTGAGTTCTGAATGTGATATTTTCCTGGGAGTCATTTTCCCATGCTTGCTGTCATTTTATTGCATCGCCAGGCTTGTAGTTTCTCCCTCATGTCTGCTCTGTGCATGCCATCCATAACAGATATCTGCCGAGCAAAAAGGCAGAGCCAGCTGTCTCTCACGCAGCTGGGCGGATCTCGACAATGATGTCGGGATCCGCTCCGGCGTCTCAGTAGGTATACTGAGCCTAGGGTGACGGGAGAACGCTAGTTTGTGTCCTCCCGTTACCCTAAGGAGAACTATGGGGAAAAGCCCTGACCCCATAGTTCTCCTTTAAGGCTTGCTATGATGGAGGGGGACAGCAAAGCACAAATCACTGTGCAGCACTACTGAGCAGGAAGTAGAAGCCGATTATGTAATAACCAGATACATTTAATGAATAGACATGAGATATAATTGCAGACATAAAAACAAGGTATCAGCACTTACACATGATAAAAACTCTACACCGAGTTTATCACATTTACATATATACAGGTGAAACTCGAATAATTAGAATATCGTGCACAAGTAATTGCAGTAAGTGCTGCAAAAGGGGCCCAAACCAAGTACTGAGTACATATGCATGCTTGTACTTTTCAGAGGTCCGATATTGTTCTATGTACAATCCTTGTTTTATTGATTGCATGTAATAATCTACTTTTTTGAGGTTGTGGATTTGGGGTTCTTGGGGTTTCCATGAGCTGTAAGCCATAATCATCACAATGATGACAAATCACGGCTTGAACTATCTTGCTTTGCATGTAATGAGTCTCTCTCGTATATTAGTTTCACCTCTTAAGTTGCATTAGTGAAATAAATGAACTTTGCACCATATTCTAATTATTCCAGTTTCACCTGTAAAATATACACTATAAAAAAATATCTAATATACTTATTGATCCCTTATAAACAGTAAAGTGTCTTTATTGTGATCTGCAGGATCTACAGAGAGGCAGAGATGCCCATCAGTGTGGGGACAGGCCTCCTTCATACTGATACCCTGTCTGTTTGTACAGCGGTGCAGAAACCGCTGATAATATGTCCAGTTCTGTCCATGATAAGGAATGTCATTGACCTGGGTTCATGGCTGGACACTCCTGGTTCCATGGCTGGGGATATCCCTGAATGACAGATTGAGGTTTATGATTGAGCCTTGTGGTCCCGTGACTGGGTCTGTCTGTGCATGACAGGTCAGGGTTTATGGCTGGATCCTGGTGGTTCTCTGGCTGGGGATGTCCCTAGATAACAGGTTAGGGTTCATCGCTGGATCATGGTGGTTCCATGACTGTAGATGTCCCTGAATGACAGGTTGGTGGCTTGATCATGGTGGTTCCATGGCTGGGGATGTCCTTTAATGACATGTCAGAGTTAGTGGCTTGATCATAGTGGTTCCATGGTTGGGGATGTCCCCGAATGACAGGTCAGGGTTGGTGGCTTGATCATGCTGGTTCCACGGCGGGGGATATTCCTTAATGACAGGTCAGAGTTGGTGGCTTGATCATGGTGATTCCATGGCTGGGGATATCCCTGAATGACATATTGAAGTTTATGATTGAGCCTTGTGGTCTTATAGCTGGGTCTGTTGGCCCATGACAGGTCAGGGTTTATGACTGGATCATGGCGGTTCCATGACTGTAGATGTCCCTGAATGACAAGTTGGTGGCTTGATCATGGTGTTTCCATGGCTGGGGATATCCCTTAATGATAGGTCAGAGTTGGAGGCTTGATCATGGTGGTTCCATGGCTGGGGATAAACCTTAATGACAGGTCAGAGTTGATGGCTTGATCATAGTGGTTCCATGGCTGGGGATGTCCCTGGGTTACAGTTTGAGGTTCATGGCTGGATCTTTGTGGTTCCATGACTGGGGATATCCCTGGTCAGGATTATTTGTTACTTGAAGTTCCCATAGGTTTCAAATGAATCCAGATAACTCTGAGCCAGTGTGTAGCAGAAGGAGTACTGTCCCTGCAGAGAGAGGAATGGACAGTAATGTACAGTCTCATTATGGAATTAATAAACCTTCCTGTATGTATCTCCCCTAAAGCAATACATGTTCCCTGGCTGGCACCTCTATCTTTCCCCAGTCTTTTTTTGTGGAATTGGTGTTTTCAGCCATCTTGATTATCTGGGCAGGGACCACGTAACTCATGTGCATGCATTAATGGAAGTTAATTCACCCCGGCACCAAGGCATGCAGGGAATGTACACTGATCTGAGCATACATGGCTCAGAGTTCATTTAATAGAAACATTGCTGACAGGCAGGTGTGATAATTTTATTGCTGAAGAGACATACGGAGTCACACAGATGTGCAGAGTCTCTTCTGCCAGCAATGTTTCATTCAATAGCTAAAATGGCAGGTGTGAGGTGTGAAGGTGCAGGAATTGGGTCTGATCTGAGGCCTGAAGATGCAGGAATTGGGGCTGAGCTGAGGTGTAAAGGTGAAGGAACTGAGGCTTATTTTTTTAGGGGTTGGCAACCCTCAGCACTGGCTTAGCACAGGGCCTCCTGAAGATCATCCCAGAATGCTGCTGGGTGTCACAATGGCAGATTTGAGGTCTTAAGGTGTAGGATTTGGGTTCATCTGAGGTGTGAATGTGCAGGAATTGGGGCTGACCTGGAGGTGTGGAGGTACACACAAGAGTGCATATTGGGGAAGGTAAGTTTGAGGTTGTAGTAGTTTATGGCACTACTTTCCGTACTAGAAGTTACCAGTGCCACGTTCCAGGTGCTGAAAGCCAATGTAATATAAAAACATGGAACCCAACGTGTAGATTTCTTCATGGACTTCTATTTGAGGGAGTCACACCGCACCACCACCACACTCTAACTACAGCATTGAAATGAACAGCCGAAGAGCCACTTCTCCTGTCCCAGCCAGAATGAAGACTATAGACTATAGTATAAGTCAGGGCTCAAAATTTCCACTCGCCCCCTCGAAAATTGCGTGGGGGCGAGTGGAAATGAAGCCTCCTAGGGGCGGCTTCTCTCCTGTTCACGACCTGATGACAGCGCTCCCTCGTCCGTCCATCTAAGCAGGGGGGCGCAGGAGGGAGCTCTGCCTGCTGTCAGGATGGCGGAGCGGTGAGGGGGAGAGAAGCCGCGCCCGCAGCTGTCAGGATGGCCCGAGCAGGTAGGAGATCGGAGCCGCTGTCATCCTGTCAGTTTCAGGATGACAGCGGCTCTGTGCGTGGCAGAGCGGGGATCGGTGAATATCATTGATATTTACCGCAGTGGCGTAACAACCGGGGGTGCGGGGGGTCACTTGCGCCGGGCGCAGGACTGAGGAAAAAAATTATAATAAAAAAAAATAAAATGTAAAAAATGATTTAAAAAAAGTGAAAACTGCTCCCCCCCACACGCATATTATTAGACATGTGCGAAGACTAAAAATTAATTTAAGATGAAATGTGTATGTGTAATGCTCTGTGCGTTGTGCTGTGGCTGTATGTGTGTTGTGCTGTGTGCGCGTTGTGCCCTGTGTGTGTTTGTTTGTGTTATGCAGGGCAACTGGTGGCGAGTAACTTTGAAGGCCTGGCTAGTAGCTCAGGACCTGAAATTTTGAGCCCTGGTATAAGTGTTTATATAGAAAATGAAAGCGAGATAATGACATCATTTTATGTAACAATGTTTCTAGTATTATTTTACCACACGGATGACTGAGAATGGTACGTATATATGACAACATATCGGCAATGTATCTAAGTCACACAACATACCACAGTAGGAATAAACTGGCAGCGCCTCCTCCGGAGGGAACGCACGGCCTGCGACACGTCAAGGCAGCCGTCACTGCGGATCTGGTCGCAGATTATGACACCGGCACAGAAGAGACCTGAGCGACTTGCCCCATCGCTGGACGGACACAAAGGACACAGAGAAGAGACGACGTAAATATTCTGTTAGCAATCTTTGAATACACAAATGTTTTATTACAAATACAATGTGTCAGAATTTTTTCAGTAGGTCTAATATGTAAAGGAGGGTCGTCGGCCGTGTCAATATGATCAAAGCGTCCTACAGACTGCCCGGGCCTAGGCAGGGGCGTCCCGAGGCTGGGTGACACCCGGAGCGGTGTCCGAGTGTCACCCCGGCGAGACGTCACCGCGCATGCGCGTGACGTCAGCACGCGCGTGCACGATGACGTCATCGCGCACGCGCGGCAGTATTCTGATACCTGCCGGCGCCCATCTTGGTGATGGACGCCGGCAGAGAGAGGAGGGGACAGTCACCCGGCGGGATAAGGTATGCCGCCGGGTCTCCTCCTCTCTCCTGATACTGTCGGGCGTTCGGTCAGAGGGGGGTGACACCTTTTCAGAGGGGGTTGACACCAAAATGACTGTAAGTCATTTTGGTGTCACCCCTCCAACGGTGTCACCTGGGTGCGGGCCGCACCCCTTTGTGACGCCACTGGGCCTAGGTAGATCTGGGGCCTCTAATAGACCCGAGGCCACCTAAACGCAGCCAGATTGGGTCACCTCCTCTGTACGGGTAATTTTTTTTAATCTACTCACTCCGGGGATGCTGGAAATCATCTCTGTATCCCTTCTGGCCACTGGATTGAAGAGGGGGCCCTTGAAGTATAATTAAAGTCTCCGTTTTTTTTTGCATATATCTACTGCTGGCAAGCAGTAGATATATATGCAAAAAGTGTGAAAAATGTCCGAAAATGTGAAACTGCTCGGGCGACCGCAAAGCATCTTGGGGCGGGCGCGTGCGCAGTTCGGATTTTCGGCCGGGAGACGAGGAGAGACGCAAGGTAAGTCTATGGACGCGTGCACCTGCATGCAGACACCGTGGGACAGGAAGTGCCAACAAGGACAGAGGAGTCAGCGCTGGAGGGACAGATGAAAAGGAAAGAAGAAGAAGATCGGATTAAGAACCGTCATTTAAGGTAAGTGCTGACATTAACATTGGGGGGGACTTTTATTGACTTTAATGTCACTTTAAGGACCCTTGTAAGATGTGGAGATGATGGGTGTGGCCAGCTTTGATTGGCATTGAGGAGAAGGTTCTCCGCTGTGACAAGGTGACTCCGAGTTGTCACCTTGTAGAAGGAAGTTTTAGGCAACGGAAGGCTCACCAGGGGTCTATGGCATCATCAAAATACAAAAGTGCACTTTGCATTGTATTCTTTTCAATGTCTTTAGCTGCAGGGCCTGGCCTCAGTTCCCACTTGGCATGGAGTCTGTATGCTTTGTGTGAGCTTCCTCCCCAATATTTGGTCTCCTCTCACAATTCAAAACAATTTCACTTAAATTAGCCTACCCAACATACATCACCAATCCAACATACATCACCAACTCTACATTCATCATCAACTCCACATTGATCACCAACACAACATACATCAACAACCCAACATACATGGCCAACACAACATACAAACCCAACATACATCACCAACTCTACATTCATCATCAGCTCCACATTGATCACCAACACAACATACATCAACAACCCAACATACATGGCCAACACAACATACATCAACAACCCAACATATTCACCAACCCAAAACACATCAACTCCACATACATCACCAATCCAACATACATCACCAACATAACATACATCACAACACACCATACATCCCCAACACAACATACATCACCAATCCAACATACAAACCCAACATAAATCACCAACCCAACACACATTCATCATCAACTCCACATTCATCATCAACTCCACATTGATCACCAACACAACACACATGACCAACCCAACATACATGACCAACACAACATGCATCACCAACTCTACATTCATCATCAACTCCACATTCATCATCAACTCCACATTGATCAACAACCCAACATACATGACCAACACAACATACATCAACAGCCCAACATACATGACAATCTCAACATACATCAACAACCCAACATACTTCACCAACCCAAAACACATCAACTCCACATACATCACCAACCCAACACACATTATCAACTCCACATATATCACCAATCCAACATACATGACCAACATAAGAAACATCACCAACACATAATACATCAACAACACAACATACATCCCCAACACATCATACATCCCCAGGGCCCTCATGCACAATGAAGTAGTGTTGGTATAATTTTAGGCCCATAGTTGTAGTCACCCACCATGGAACAGAAGAAATGTCGGACTTACCAGCAGGTCACCAGCGTGTGACTCCCAGGCACATGTGATGGGCATTTCTCCACCTCTGCAATCAGATTGATGATAGCCGCTGGATTCTCCGGGATTGGTTTGTCGAGGGGCCAGGAGTCCAACTGCCACAGCTTCACCTCCAGGCTGTTGTCAAAGTTCTGTGGATGACAAAGCTCACTCGTTAGTTACATTGTCCCTGGTGATGAATATATTAAATACAATGTGAGGAATATAGAAGTTACGCGGCTCGCCCGCTCCC